CAGTCAGAAGTACTAGTCGAAGCTCCCACTCACCAAAAACTGTCACAAGCACCAGTCATACACGATATAAAACTGCTCTTACAATCGCCTTTGTTCAGCATCACAGCCATCGTACAAGCCATTGTAACAAGCACTTCCAGAGCAGAACGAACAATCGAAACGATCACGGCACTACTGAACTCCGCGATCATCTTACAAGACATGTCGATCAATCACGAAGCCTCCTTTCAGTTGCCTTGCCAGCAGCTTCCCAGCCATCAGCACAGAAACGAAAGGCATTATGATGCATCAGCCCCGAAGCGTACAGAATCGATTTCAAGAGAATTCCCGGCACCTCAGCATCGCCATATCTCGTTCGACTCCTCCGATCACGCAACACTGGTCGAGCAATCTGTTGCGAATTGGGTGCACAGCAGCGTCGCTCCGATGAACAGTCTCCCTGGGACTCCACAAGATTTGTGGTACTGTGAGAATTGCAACGACTATAACGGCGACTGGCTGGACTTTTGTCCAACGTGTGGTGCTCAGGCGCCTGAGAAATCATGAAATACTCGTACTTTCTACGATACATCGACCGTTGTCCTAGCTAGGTATCGGATCTAGTCAGCCATCTCGCAGGTCCAATAACTCTTTTCGTCTACCATAGGCCCGATTTTCCCCATACAATGATTCGGTAATGGTTCTTCTTCCTTCATTTCCTTAGTATTGTATTTGTACCTTGACCTTTTTCGGCTTTCTCCTAGATCTTTGTTTGTACATCATTGGTTTAGTTTCGACATCGGTGCTTGCTTGTGGATCTTTTCCTTAATTCATGATCAATCCTTTGCATGTACATTAGAAATGTTTACTTCCCCACTGTCGCTACCGAGTTCTGTACGTTATCATTAATGTTAGCCTATACATTGTCACTACCATGTTTCTTTTCAGATTAAACATTGGTGGATAGAATCGATAGTACTGTGTGCTTTACAAACATCAGATATCCTTCTATGAGGTCCGCACCTACATGCATGTGTGAATTATAGATCATCCGAGCAACTAAAAACATAGAAAGACGCAAGCATGCTGATGATGGCCATAACTCACCCACGGAACACATTCCGCCTCCCCTCGGCACTTCCCTAATCCAGCAACCCGCCAACCTCACCCTCCACCCACCTAACCCCCAACAGAGCAAAAACTACCGTCCATCCCCTCCGCGTCTACCCCAGCTTTCCCCAGATCCACCTTGCCTCCACAGCAAAACTCTTCCCTCTCGCACAAGACTGGACGGCAAAAGTCTTGACGCACGTCGAAGGCTTCCGTCACACATGCTGAGTGGTGCGGGAGGCAGACAAGAGGGGTGGGCAGGGGCTGGGCGTGCGTCAATGGCGGACTTTTATCAATGACCGAGTGAGAACGTGTCATGTCGGGGTATGTACCCGCGGAGTAAACTTTGGTTAACGGGTGAACGGTCGCTGGATAGTCACGGTAATCGTTGACCGCGCGCCCCATGGGGGTGGAGACGATGGTTATTCGGCTGGACTGGCGTGCAGTGGGCGCGCTCGCGCGACGGCGGGGATCTGCGGCTCGTGGCTTTTAGGATGTGGTATGGGATGGGCCCCGGACTTTTATGTTGCGAGGGATTGGTCTTTTTAGCTGTTAGGTATCTGACATTCTTGGTCGTTTATTGCACGGTGTTGCTTGCATCTCTCTTCTTCCCCGCAAGCCTACCCACCCCGTCTTCAATACAGGTGTCTGAACCCTCGTCACCATGGACGAAAAGCCTGCCATTCACCGGCTCTCCCACGCCAGTGATTCTCCAGATGGCACATCTATCCATGCCGCACGCAAAGCCTCGATCACATCATTCGGCCATGGGGGAACAAAAGCAGAGGAGCGGGCGCGCATCGACGCGCTGGCTACAAGTCCAGGCGTGACTATGGCATCTTTTGCGCATCTCGACGAGAAGAAGATTTTACGGAAGATGGACTTGCGCCTCATCCCCATGTTAGCGCTGTTGTATCTTCTCTCCTTTTTGGATCGAGGAAACATCGGTAACGCGAAGATTGAAGGGTTAACGGAAGATCTCAATATGACGGGTGCGCAGTACAACTGGTATGCTTTTCGCAGATCTATCGGTCTTCTGAGTTTATATGATAGCCTAACAATGGAAGCAGGTGTCTAACAGTCTTCTTCTTCACATACGCCTTCTTCGAAGTGCCCTCCAACCTCCTACTGAAAAAGCTTCGGCCATCGATCTGGCTCCCAACCATCATGGTAGCATGGGGCATCGTCATGACGCTCATGGGCATAGTGCAGAGCTATGAGGGACTGTTGATTGCAAGAATCTTCTTGGGTGTTACGGAAGCCGGGTATGTCTCTACCGAGTCCCTGTCTGCCTATGGAAACGGCATGCTCTACGGCCAATTGAGCGCGTCAGGCTAACAGACCATCTGAATAGTCTCTTCCCAGGAGTAGCATACTACATCACAATGTGGTACGCCCGCCACGAAGCGCAGTTCCGCCAAGCCCTCTTCTTCTCCGCTGCCTCTGTCGCAGGCGCTTTCTCTGGTCTTCTCGCCTTCGGCATCGCACACATGGATGGTGTAGGGAATCTCGCGGGTTGGCGCTGGATCTTCATCCTAGAGGGAATCTTGACCGTCATCGTGGCAATCATTGCATACTTCACGCTCTACGACTTCCCGGAAACCGCTACTTTCCTCACGGAGGAAGAGCGTGCTTTTGTTGTATACCGTTTGAAGTATCAGAACTACAAGGAAGAAGCGGATGGTGGTGTTAGGGTCGCGCAAGATGATAGCTTCCAGTGGAAGTTTGTCAAAGCGGCGTTCCTCGATTGGCAGATTTGGACGAATGTTTTGGTTTATTGGGGTATGTGCCAATTCTCAACTCTTTTGCTGGTGTGCCGAGCTAACATAGGCAGGTATCGTATGTCCGCTATACGGCATATCCCTCTTCCTCCCATCCATCATCCGCGCACTCGGATATTCCTCTTCCACAGCCCAACTCCTCACCGTACCCATCTATATCACCGCTTCCGTATTGGCTGTTGTTGTCGCGTGGTTCAGCGATAGAGTTGGAAAGCGGTATCCGTTCATCTTGGTGTGTCTGTGCATCATGGCTGTCGGCTTCATCATGTGTATCGCGGGTGGCAGCGTGCCAGGGCTCGTATACGCGGGTGTCTTCATCGCGGCGTGTGCGCTGTATCCAGCGTTCCCTGGAAATATCACATGGCTCAGCAATAATCTAGCTGGAAGTACGAAGAGAGCTACCGGGCAAGCTATCCAGATCGCCGTGGGTAATTTGGCGGGTGGTAAGTTGTCCATTCCTCATGTGCCACATTTCTTGTCACTGACTTTCGCCAGCCATGGCCTCCAACTTCTATCGCGCAGAAGACGCGCCGCGTTATCTTCTCGGTCATGCTCTCGAACTCGGTTTCATCGTGGCGGGTATCATAGCGTTGCTGTTCTTGGTGTTCAACTACAAGCGCATCAACGCGAAGAGGGAGCGACAGGTAGCTGAGGGCGCGCATAACGGGTATACTCCCGAGGAGCTGGGCGCGCTTGGGGATCGGGCGATTACGTTCAAGTATTTCCTGTAGTCTGGGTCGTTAGTCTCGTACTTCAGACAGATAGAATGTGTAACGACGTACCCTTTCGCCTGCGATTGCAAGAGTTTTCGGCGATAGTTATGGCATTCAGCCAAAAACTCCCTTCCTGGCTGTTTGTGCATCGCTCGCGTGTGCTCAATAGTCCTGTATGCCCGTCTCACCCGTCAACACCTTCTCCTTCCCCTCCCCGTCCGAATCAAAGTCGCTCTCCATGCTCTCGAAATACGCGTCCTCCAGGTCTCGTTCCGCCTCCGGATCATCGTACTTGGCATTCTTGTCGACCAACTTGTCATACTCAAAATCATCGTCTCCGCCTCTCAGGAAGCGCTGTGTCATCTCGTCGATCCACCACGCCCTCCCTTCTTCCTTGGTCATGGGCACATCGTCCTTTTCCTCCTCCATTATCTGACCCTGAGGCCCGCGGTTATATGTGAAGAGCGAATTCGGGTCGGGTTGCGACAGCGCGTCTTTCTTCGCTTCGGCGCGCCACAGATCGGTAGCCATCTGGCCCGAGAAGCCCTTCTTGCGCCCTTCGGCTTCGCGCTCGGATGCGGTTTGGAAGCGGCGTATGAGGCGGTCGTATAGGAGCGGATCGGCGAGCTCGAGGGACGAGTCGGAGAAGTATTCGGGATGCACTTCGAGGTAGCGCTTGCGCCGGTTCTTAGCCTGGAGTCGTTGCGCGCGTTCGTTCTGTTGCTGGCGGAGTTGGTCGCGGAGTAGAGATTCGTCTATCTCATCGTCCATTTCCACGTCTTCGGTTGTAGGGGCTGATGCGCCGCCGTTGACATGGCCATTGGGGGTCGCGGGGTCCTTGGCTGCATCCGCCGCGTTCGCTGGTCGTAGGGCGAGACCTGGCGCCATTCTGGGTGATCCGGTCATGTATGGCATGCTAAGAGGATTCAGACTCCAGAAACCCTCTCACTGCAGTCGCTATGGTAGAAGTGATGGTCAATCGCAATGCTTGGTAATGACGCCACACGCCGTGCTGGGCGCCACACTCTAGTGCGAAACGCGCCCAGCCGAAACGAACTCCACCTTAATGATCGCCCGTTTCACCCGTGCATCATCCCATTCAGCCAGGAACAGCTGGCCTTCTTGGTTTTTAATTTCAACGTCTCTTCCTTTCCTTTTCCTGCCTTATACCCTTCTTTTGCACTTTGCTTGCTGCTCTCTATCGTTGTTCGCGGGCCGACTACACTATCGCGGATATACGGTCCGTATAGAGTGCTTGAAGAACTTGGGATTCCTTGGACCGTTTACGCGATATCTGGTCTTTTCAACGCTTCACACGCTTCGCCATCGTTCTTTTTCGCGAAAGCTGTTACAGCAAATTGAGCAAGAACATTTCGATTTGGGTTGATAGGAAGAGATAGAACGGGAATTCTACATCATGTCGCCGAAACAAAAGACACCGAAGAAGCCAAAGGCAGCGAAAGAGGCGGAAACCCAGGCGCAAAATGCCCCAGCATCGACTATTCTTCTGAATGTTGGTAGAGCAGCAGCACTCCTGCTTGTCGCAGGTTTCGCATCACCAGTCTCACAACTGAACCTGTCTCCTATCTATGGATCAATCCCAGCATCGCTGCACCATCAACGGACTATGACTATCACAGCTGTTGCAGCACTCTTAACACGACGAGCATTGAAGAGCTACGTGTCTGCAAATGTGGCACAGTACATCGCTGTAGTAGCGTACTGGACACCCGTCATCCAGTTCCTACTATTCCCATACAGCGGAAAAATTGGGGTAGAATACGGACCTCTGCTCATCGAGTCCCTTACCTACTTCCCCCTACTGTTTTTATCAGTTTTCGCTGCCGCTGATCTACTGGAATGCATCGATATTACCGGAATCAATCCCTCGCCATTGAAGGAAATCGCCATCCCCACTGCATCCTACTTCACCGTATCGACGGTAGCCAAGATCAGCAGCGCTCTCATCCCCGGCTTCATCGGTACATCTGTCTACTTCACGCGCGTGGGTATGCAGATGCTTCTTGCTTCAGCATCTGCCTTCTTCAGCCCATCACGTGTCATCCTCCTCGCGTTTCCGGCAATCCTCCACACGCTCTGGACGAATCCGCATCATCCTTCAACCCACGGTCTACAATTGGCAAACTCCACCTTGCAGGCTACGCAGAACTACACGCTTCTCGCTCGTCATGAGTCCGTCACTGGATATGTCTCTGTCATCGAGAACCATGCCGACAATGCCTTCCGTCTTCTTCGATGCGACCACTCCCTCCTTGGAGGCGAGTGGCTCGTAACACCCCAAGCCTATGCTAAAGGTCAGCGCCAACGCGAGTCCATCTTCGCCGTCTTTGTACTCCTCGAAGCCGTCCGCCTCATGGAACCCCCAGTCGATACCATACCTATCGTAGACGACAGCGAGAAATCTGCATTGGTGATTGGTCTCGGTATCGGCACAGCACCAAACGCCATGATCGCGCACGGTATCAACACGACGATCGTCGAACTCGACCCCGTAGTCCACTACTACGCAACGAAGTATTTCGCGCTAGACCCCAACCACACAGCCGTCATCGACGACGCAACCGCCTACGTAGCACAAAAGTCCGTCTCAGCACCCGGCAGCTTCGACCACATCATCCACGACGTCTTCACTGGCGGTGCAGAACCCGTGTACCTGTTCACCACAGAGTTCATGCAAGGCCTCTACGACCTATTGAAGCCAGAAGGTTTCGTCGCAATCAACTACGCCGGAGACCTGACACTGGGCTCAACGAGACTGGTGCTGAACACCATCCACGCCATTTTCCCCGCTTGCCGCCTCTTCCGTGATTCTCCGCCTCAGGCAGAACACAAGGAAGGTGAAGCTGACTTCATCAACATGGTCATTTTCTGCGTCAAGAACGATCACGGATTGGGCAAGGCAGCTGTCAACTTCCGCGATACGGTTCAGAAGGATTACCTGGGTAGTATTGCGAGGAGAAACTTCTTGCAGCCGCAGGAGAAGTTGGAAGTCAACTACGATTTTGTGAGCAAGGAGAATGGAGGCAGGGTCATGGGCAATGCGGATGTGGGTGAGCTGGAGAAATTCCACGAGGATGGTGCGGTTAGCCATTGGAAGATCATGAGGACGGTTTTGCCGGAGGGGGTTTGGGAGATGTGGTGAGCGACTTATCGCATGATGGCTGTGGTGGTGGCAAGTAAGCGCAGGTTTTGCGAGTGAAGAGAAAACGCGATGTATAGAATGTGAGAGATTCGCAGGGTCGATTGGTATACGACTATTCATAATCCAGAACGGTGTTCAGAGAGATCAAGTAATCCGCACATACCGATCCCCTAACAAGCCCACCCTAGTTCCCCCATATAAAAGCATTATAATCTGTATCTACAAAACACCCAATCAACACCCCTCCCCTTTCCCTCCAATGCACGCTCACCCGGCCCTCCCCTCCGTCACCAATGAACCCTTTACCCACCCCCACGCCTCCCACACACCACACGTCTCAACCCCTCCCCTCAGACATGTCACAGGCTAAGCATTCGCCTTGCATCGTCTTGTGCGTGATAAGCCATGCTAAGCATAAATCTTAATGCATGAGAACAGGCAAAAACAGAAAAGAGCACCTCCTGCGATGCAGCATAAGTCATCACACCGCGTTTTTTTTTTGAGGGTGATGAGACAGGGGTGGGTGTGCATTGCAGCATGTGGGGAAGTGTGGAGGTGGATATCGGTGAAAGGTCATGGGGAGAGTAAGGGTCTTAAGAAGAGGTTGGGTATGGTGGTTGGGTAGGGAGTCAAGGATTGGTGGGAGGGAGTACGTGAGGGAGAATTTGGTTGATTGATGTGGTTGGAAGAACTGCGTTGTTTTGTAATGTTGATGATTGAGCCTGATGGGTGAGGCCATTACCGTCCAATAGCTCTACGCTATGAATCATATCGGACGTACATGTCATGCGAAGGGGATGCTTCAAGTCTAGTTGACGATTCTGTATGCAAGGACGCGGAAAGTCGGCATCAACACAACAAGACTGCTTGTTTCCATTTTCCATGAAGCGATCCTTGACATTTCAGCCTCATCAAATTCATGACGAAGTAATCACCTGCTCCACCTCTTACAAACTCGCTATTCAGCGCATAGTCGTGTGACAGCATCAAGCTGAGCTGCGCAAAACAACACACCTACAGCAAGGCGTTACCCCGCTATTCTCACACGAGCTCAAAAGCCGGAGTATCCTAACCAGCATGAGACATGTCTATCGCCTACTCATTAGTCGAACCAACGTGCTGACGATGACACGACAGAATCTCGGTACCACTCCATCAGCGGCTTAAAAGACCCTCGGCGGTTGTTTGACAGGATGCTGTGCGATGACTTCACACATGCCCCGCATTCGAGAAGCATGTGTGGAAACTGCGCAGCGCCGACCGCTAGTACGCTGCGCCAATGCTTTGTCTGATTCAAGCTCGATCGTATGTTGTGGGCGTATCATACTCCCCACGTGTTTGTTGAAATGGTTGCTTCTTGTTTTGTTGGAGTTCGTGTTGGACTGGTTTGCGCCACGATTTGATCCTTCTCTCCACGCTTTTGATGACTTGCAGTATCGCGCATGCGCAACATAGCGGGCGCAGTACCCGGAACACCCCATACTATACTCCAGTTCGCAATCGCAGAACCAGCTCATTTTCGCGCGCTTACATTCCTCCATCGCCAAGCCCGTGGACCTCTATCCCTAGCGGACCAAGTATCTCGGCGCCACGTCGGACAAGCGGGTCATTACAAACTTGCTTGCTGCCGTCGGCATGCATCGTAAGAGTGGGATTCAATAACCCATATCAGCGAAGTTGGAATGACGAAATTCTGGAGATACGTCAGACAGATACAGTTTTCCGATAACAGCGGAAGATCAGCGTAAGCTATTCGCTAGCTCGCGAGTCGCGCAATCATAATTCCTCCGAGACGAAGTGGAGCTGCTGCTTGGTGATCTCCGCGCGTCAAGGCAATTGCCGCGTTTGCACTTTCTGCAGGGCTGCCAATCGCATGGGACGCGCATACACGTGTGTTGGTCAGGGAAAGTAGCGAGAGACAGAAAGGGAAGGTGGGACGAGACAAGACGTCGATGTGGTATATGTGTCGTTTGAAGTGGCATTCGCAGAATGCAGATGGAACTGACGTGCTAGTAAAACAAAATACAATAATGCCTCCAGATTGGGAACGGGACAAAAACCGCCTTTTGACCCGCTATGCTCGACCTTCAAGCGCCGTAATGCAGTGATCGTGAAAACAATGGTCGTCAAAATATACAGTCGTGATTATCGTTCGCCCATATCGAACCTATGTGTGAATGCCTTCCCAACCTTGTTCTCCGGCTTGGGCGGAATGTGATGATGCAAAAACTTCTTCGGGGCAGCAGTCCTAGCACTCGAGGACTTGGAAGCGTCGAACATGATTTTGGGGTCGTCATACGTCTCTGGACAGCAGCAACCAATATTCTTGATGCAGCTTGTTTTTAGAACCTCGCCGATAGTTATGCGTTTCGAGGGTATCGGATGAAGCATCTTTAGCATGAGACGTTTGATGGACGGGGGCTCGATGAGACTGAAAAGCTTGCCACACTTAGGGTGGCCATCGACACCATCAAAGATGTCACCGTCAGGATGGCGTTCCAGCCAAGAATCCCAACCCTTCTTAAACCTGGCGTAGTACTCGAACTCGGGCTTCGCAGCTTGCCACGGGCAACCACCAAAGGTCATAGTTAGGTAGACGATGGCGGTCGACCAGATATCCAGCGGACGTGGGTCGTAGCTGTGATCCTTTGCAAGAACTTCCGGAGCGATGTAGGGAAGGCTGCCGCAAATTCCAGGCTCGGATAACCGAATTTCGCCCATGTTCTTTCCACACTCACCGCCAGACGCGCGAAGTCCAGGATGCTCACCAGTGAACACTTCCGCTACGCCAAAGTCCGAGATCTTGAGATGACCGTCTTTGCTGAGGAGCAAGTTCTCCAGCTTGATGTCTCGATGAGCGATGCCATGACTATGCAAGTAGCTCACGCCGCGGAGTAATTGCTTGAAGAAGCACAACCGATCATCTCGACTGTAAAACCCTTCCGCGCCGCCAGCGAACAACTTCCGTTCTACCAACGAATATATCTCTCCATATGTACAAAACTCCATGACGTGGTTCCAGCGACCGCGGTTCGTACATAACCGTACTGTTTCGACAATATTCGGATGATGCAGACTCTTCGCAATGCTGTACTCGGACTTGATCTTCAGTACGTAGTCCTCCTCAGTCTCGTCCTTGTCGCGTTCTCTAAACTCTTTGACAGCTACCAGGTCTTCTTCCCGTGTAATGCCTCCTCTTCGCGCCATGATCCGAACTTCCGACGTTGCGCCTTTGCCTAGAATCTTTCCTCTCTTGCCAGGCATCAAACTCGAACTCTTGAACTCTTTATCTAGCTCACACCAGTCGATGATGAAGTCGTCCGGTAGGTTCACACTAAGTCGCCGTGCCTTCATACCCACACCTTGGACAGCTGGCTTGGAAAAGGTAGCCAACATGCCAGCGGTAGGCTTCTCTGCACTCTCGTTGATGCGTGGGACCTGCTCTGTGCTTGCGGACCGTCGGCGTGAAAAGCCGACTTTCTTAGTAGAGCTAACGTTTCCACTACCCGCCCAGGTGATACCAGGCCGCGGTCGGCTCATGCTTGCCAGGCCCGTGGAAGAAGCGGGTTTGGTGCCAATTCCTGGTCGTCTGTCCGTCGATAGCCTGCTCATAGGTGATCCAGACAGGGGTGGAGAGTTTGCGCGGGAGGATTTGTCAGAGCGTCGCGTCAGGGAGAAGGAGCTCAGTCTTCTGCTTTGCTTGGGGATGTCGACTGCCGGAGTTGCTACCTCAGCGGGCCCATCTACACCAGTCTTGACAATATATGTGTTGGTCTCGGCCTTTGCTTTGGGCGATCTGTTCGGCGTCGAGATGTTGGAAGTGTCGGACTGATTGGTTCCATCTTTGCTCGAATGTCCTCTGTGCAGTTTGCCGCGGATCAGGGAGCCCACGCGCTTTCCCAGACCGCGCTTCTCCGGTGGTGACTGGCGCTCGGCCTGCTGAGGCGGCTGGACATGTTGTTGGCTCTCGATATCGTGCGGCGCCTCTTGCAGCGGTGACTTGTTGGGCATGTCGCTCGTGACAGGGCGTGGGGTTGCGAATACGTCGTCTACGGAGTCATCGTCACGGAAAGGATGTGAGAAGGGCGTGCCCTCGCTGGTATGGCTGGTGGGTGTAAGAGGCTCGGCGGGCTCGCTTGCGGTGCCAGTACTCTCATCCTCCTCTTCAATAGCAAAGCGGTGGTCGAGCGGGCGTGAATCGCGGTGCCGAAGTCGGTCGGAGAGGGTTCGCTCATCGAAGGAAATTGACAGTTGCCGTTGCTGTTCAGCGACCATCGGCATGGTGATGGGGCGCTGCTGTGCTCCGATTGGCTGGCGAACGACCGAGCGCTGGTGAGGGTGAAAGTCGCCAATACGCGAATACGGCGAGGTGCTGGGGCTTGTCGCTACGGACGCTGGAGGGGGCTCGGACAGTTATACGAGCCTTCAAGCGTACTGCACGAGTGCAGGTGTAGGGTGGGCAGCAGGAGCGGGGTGTGGTAGAAGTGTTGCAATTGTGACAGAGCCATATACACAACGTAAGAAGGGGGACTGGGGAAGAAAAGTTAAGTTGCGTCGGAATGGCACCGACGACACGCGAGTGAGGTTTGCAGCGGCCGAGGGGTGGATGGCGAGGGTCCAGATGCAGGCGGGCAGCGGCAGGGAGATGACGTCCCTATCTATCCGCCTTGCTCTCGTGACGTTGGAATATCAATCAGTCCAACTGCACGCAAAGGCGGCAATCGTCCCAGAATGTAGGAGAAGCGGCGCCCGGGGCCTTGCGCGATGATATGTGGGCTCCAGAAGTCGCAGAGAGACTAAACTCTCTTGATTTGACGCCAAAACACCCCCGGCCCAGTCCCCCTGCGCGACCCCCACAGCGCCAAAGGCCACCTGCAGCCCGGATGCACGTCTTGCGAAGGCCGCCCAGTAACTCTCGTCCACCGTGCACTCTCCCCCAGGACCCGGACCTTGCGCCCACACAGCAGCGCCGTGTGATGGATGATGTGCGTCGATGATCG